TCCTCCTTCTCGAGCTGGGCAGATCAGCCCAAAGGTGTTAAAATGCTAAAACTAGGTAACGATTTAGACAAAAGCAAATGGAAACTAAATAACATGCTCAGCAAGATGAGTTTTCTCACGAGACTCTGCCTCCAAACAAACCCGAAGGCCATGGAGTTCCTCCTCCTTCTTGGTGAGCTTTCTGCACTTACCCTCGTAGCGAGTCAACTCAGCTTGAAATCGGGCGCGGGTCTGATTATAAAGCACCTTGGCCTAGAACCATGATAGAAACAAAGTTAGAAAGACGAAGAGTTGGACGCCGAGCAGAATTTGCAAAAAGTTACCTGCTCACAGAGCATATCCATCTCACTGAAAATAAGTGAGGCATCGAGCTCAGGGTCTTTCTCAGGCGCAGCCAAAGGCCCTCCAAAAATATCTTTATCTCTGATGGGCACCCCCACATCGGAAGGTTTTTTATTCTGAGCATATTGCATCTCCCCAGGAGGTAAAGTCGGTATCGGAGGGGAATCACTCACTTCAATAGCCCCGACTGGATCAATTGGGGCCATCTCTTATTTCTGGAGAGCTTTAGAACTAGGCTCCCCCCGACCACCTACCAAATGCACCTCAGATCGAGGAATATTTTGGCCGTCAACCGGCTCGAGGACATTACCCGATGCACCCTTGAAGGCCTCTCACCCCGAGGTAGTACAAAAACAGCAGCAAGTTCTGACTTGGAAGCCACTGTCTCAGCAATATAAGGGGCAATCAAGTTTTCCCCTCCCTTTGGATGCTACCAAGGAATCATCTTTCTCCTTACCTTCAGCTCGGGGACTCCCCTCTACTCTTGGAGTTAAGGCTGCTGAACCAGCCTTATGTTCTTCCACTTTGGTTTTCTTGGATTTCGTAGGCTCAGTCGACGATTCCCTTCATCTTCTCTCCTCTTTGTCAGATTTCGGGTTATTCGCCTCCCCAGGCGGTGTTTCTATCATCAAGGAGGCCTCTCCCAAACCTGCGCGAATACAAAATATAAACATATGGAATAAGGGGACAATTGGTGATAGTTCTTCTGAAAGATTCAACTACAACAGAAGTAAGGGCTCACCATGGTCCTTGGCCTCCCATCGAGTCGTAGACAGGTCGTGCCACACACGCTAGGCATATGGGCAAGTTGAATCCAGCCGGCGAATCCAACCTGAGAGATCCCTAACCGCGTCGGGGTACACCACGTCAGCTGTATCAGTAGAGGAAGTTAGTTCATGGGGAAATTGATCCTAAAGGGAAAGAAAATACTTAATCAGCGTATCCATTTACGTTTCATGTTCCACCTTTCGAGGAACGACATCTTTTCCACTAGGATCAGGTCTGAGGTCTTAAACCAAACAAAATGGATCATCCACCCTCCATCCCTAACCTCGTCAGTTCAAGCAAAAAGGTTTTCGAGGCTCTATAGCAGAGTTTAATCAGGCCCTCTCAAAGAAGTCGGGGACTATACATTCTGATTAGGTGGTGGAGGGTGAAAGGCATCCCCTTAATCAAGTTTGCATAATATCTGGTCATATAAATAATACACCAAAATGATTGATGAATTTGGCTGAGAGTCACTTGATATAGTTCACAAAAGTCGAGGATCACGAGGTCTGTTGAAGGCGAGGACGGCTCCACCGGGCCGAGAGTAAATGGGTAGGTACACACTAAGGAAGTCGGCCTTGTATATCATTATGTCCTCTCCCCGAGAAAGAATCTCCACCAACACCGCGTCCCCCCAGCGGTAGTCAGTCTTTACCTTATTAACGTCTACTACTGAACTAATATATCGGGACACGGGTTCACACTGTCCTGGTTTTGAAGAAGGCTTCTCGACCTTGAAATCAGAGGTCATTTCGCAGGATCCTGGGATGAATTCCTCAATATTAGGGGGTGCTATCGACTTACCCTTAGACGAGCGTGAAGAAGGGGGAGGCACATCCTCTTGAGAGACAGAGACAGAAGACTTCAACATTCTTGTTGAAAGGTTTCAGAGGGAGGAGGAGATCATAATCAGAGAAAGAGCACAAGGGAGAATTAAGAAGAACTCATTTTACAGTAAAAAATAGGGGGCGAAGGAAGAAGTATTTATAGAGGCCAAATGGTAGACAACCGCTATAGTTAATTCAAAGGCTCTTCGAAGGCTGTATGGATGCGAATTTTAGTCATCCTTTTTTGTCGCATCAATCTCTTGATGTGACTCAACTGATGTCATGATGGGTGTATTGAGGAGGAAAGGATTCAAGGTCGTTTCTTATCATTTTCACTCTAAGAAACGCGAGAACTATCTGTACACGGCTAAAATTGGAGAGACCGATTTTATGATCGTTACGACATTCCGTAGATCAGAAGACTCGAGGTCCGACTCTAGTCCAATTCCGAGGGTTCCCTGTGCTCGACCTCAAGGCAGCATAGATCGATGGTTATCATGGACAAGTGGGAGATTCCCGAGGCGCATGATCAAAGCTGAAAACGCCTGCAAGAATAGTACAAGTCTGTACCAGACCTTTAAGTAGTTGTACCAGCTACTTTCCCTTGTAATAATTATACATGTACCATGTTGGGATTTCTCCTCTTATATATGGGAGACCCATGCTATTTCTTGCACACATGATATTCAATACAAGAACAAGAACATTCTCTGCTCTCTAACTTAAACACTCTCTATTGTCTTTCCTTTGATTTATTGCTTATATTTATTGTGTTTTGTTGATTTTTCTTCATTTATTACTCATCATTTATCATAAAGAGCCCTCATCAAAGCTCTTAGGATTGTTAGTCCTTCATTGATCACCCCAGTCAAGCTCGTAAGCTCGACCTCGAGGCCCAGCGTAAGCTAGCCCAGGACCCCGACTCTCGACCACTCGGTTTGCATAACATACTATTTTCAAGCTCTTATCTTATTTTCTAGTCTCACACTTAGCATCTATTGCCTAACAACTACCATAGAAATAAATCACATATTTGTAGAACCACAAAATCAAATCTAATTGTAATTATCATTTTCAAGGTAAACACCCTTCAAGAGTACCATCAAACCTTTACACACTTTAAATATTCCATTCTCGGAGTGAAACTTATATCCTTGATCATCCAAAGTTGAAAGGGAAATCAAATTCTCTTTATTCGAGGAACATGCCAACACTCTATGTTTTTGATAATTTTATCGAACATTCTCAATTTGATGTTACCAATCCCCTCTACCGGTAATTGATTATCATCTTCCATATAGATAGTCCCACTCATTTGCTTGTAAGTTGCAAACCAATTCTTGTGTGGACACATGTGGAAAGTAGCACTAGAATCAAGAACCCAAGAATTCTGCACATGACAAGAACTCACAGCACAGACTTCCCCTACATAGTGACTATCATCAGAATTATTGCCAGTGTCAACAATATTTGCCGAATTATATATTTTCTATTTCCCTCTTTTCTCCTTCAGCTTAGGACAATCTCTCTTGTAGCGGCGTTGCTCCCTGCACTCATAACAGTTCTGCTTTCTTGCTCTAGATTTCGATCTGGCAATTGACTTTTTCCTGTTAAAGTCTGTTTGTTGTGTTCTTCCTCTACTCACAAGACCCTCACCCTCAATTCTGATGTCCGAAAAGCGCTTTTTTAACTTTTTAGGTTTTAGCGCATTACTAACATCTTCCAGTGAAATACTATCTTTCCCATATAGCAGCGTATCGACAAAAGTATCATAATATGGTGGTAAAGAACATAACACAATCAAGGCCGGATCTCACTCTCAATTTTGATATCCACGTTCTTCAAGGCTATTATACTTAAATCAAACTCATCAATGTGAGTTTTAACAGGTGTACCTTCATTCATACGTAGATTGTATAACATCTTTTTCAGGTAGAGGCAGTTTGTCAGCGATTTCTTTGAATATAGATCTTCCAACTTCTTCCATGCCATTGCAGCAAAAGTTTTTTCAGCAATTTCTCGAATACCGCTATCTGTAAAGATCATGAAGATCACACTTAAAGCCCTCTCCTTTAGGTCTGCCTTCTCTGTCTCTTTCATCTCTTCAGGAAAATCCTCATCAATTGCCTTTCATAACCATTGCAACACTAGGGACGATTTAATCCTAATCTTCTACATACTGAAACTAGAACCCCCGTCAAATTTCTCTACTTCGTACTTTGTTAAAGATGATGAAGACATCTAAACCTTAGATTATATGTGGAAACCCGAACCTTGCTCTGATAACAATTGTTGTGGAAGATCGTGGGTTAACTAGCACACAACCACACACAAATCGAATAGAGAAGAAAAATCAGCACAAGGATTTAACGAGGTTCGGCTAAGCCTAATCCTCGGGGCAAAAGCAGAGAGAGTTTTCACTATGAATGAGAAGAAAAACACAGTACAATCTCTAGAATCCCAACTACATCCCCTATATATAGATCCCAAAAGGCCCCAAACCTACAAGAGAAAGGATTCCCAATTTGACAATGACAATAGCTTTTCCTTTCCCAAATCTATTACGACAATGGATTTTCCTAAACCTGTAGGGATTATGGGTTTTCTAAAAATACAAGAAAATAATCAAGCCACAAAATAACAAGTTTCTTAGTATAACCAAAAGTGTTTCGGTATGGGGTCGGTTTCGGTCTTGTTTAAGAAATTAGTGGCCCGGTAGGTTCCATTAGTGGTCCAGTACCGGGTCACAGTTACTGAGTTCTTAAGGGGCCCGGTTTAGGGGATTTATTCGTGTGGGTCCGGGTCAATCCGAGCCGGAGCAGGCTATTTTTTCTAAAATTAACGTGTCCTTTTTTAAGATGGGATCAAGCCATTTAATAGATAGAGTCAAATATGATCCTAAAGTATGACCGTAGGTATAATTATACTAAGAGAAGATAAATATAACTTATTTTTCCTAGTAAAGAGACAAATGTGACCCTTTTCCATTGTTGGAAACTTGTCCAACACTAGTTGAAGATAAAATTAAAGGGATTGGACAGTTATACACTTCCTCGCCACTCTCATCTCGGGAGATATCTTTTAAGAGTCAACCCCTTTCAGTTGTCAGTCACTCAAGTCTAACCATGAGGGAGTTGGACGGCTTATAAATTCTCTTCGTATTCTCATTTTTTGAGGCATCTTTTCTAAAGATCGTGTAATACCTCAACGGTCCTATATATTGAGGGATCTGTAGTCAATAAGTAGATATACCATTCCCCTCATAGGGCTAGTCAAATTTCTTGATCATTTATCCTCCAAAGATCATACAAGAGCAGAGTAATGGAAAGCAGAAGGCACAGCTGCAGGCAGTGTGGACTGCAGCTACCAGCTCCTACTGGAGCAAAAGCCATTTACTGTCCGAGGTGCCAACGTTTCACACAATTCCAACCAAAAAATAATATGCATGGTGCCCCCACAGTCAATGCCAACGGGCCGTACAGTAACAATATTAATGCAATGAACACAGGGCTACCAGTTTATCCTGCCAAACCAAGGACAGTAACATCTGGATTTGGTTATGGAAATTATAGGCCAGAGTCCTTCCAGATCAGGTCACCACAGGTCATGCGACCTCAGCCTCCCCCACCAGTGCATGGACGGAAGCGAGCAGTTCTATGTGGAGCTAACTACCGTGGGCATAACAAGAGTTTGAAAGGCAGCATCAATGACGTTTTAGCCATGAGATATCTTTTGGTCGACAAGTTAGGGTTCCCCAATGCATCAGTAATTGTTCTTACAGGTATCACCAACTCCATATATGTAAATGCTTGTTTTAGTATTTCACTTCGAGAGTGAAGAAGATCAGTAGCGAAGCCAAGAAATCAATAAGGGTATTCAAATTTTGGACACTCCTTGCCAGTAGCTATGCAAGGTTATTCAAAATGCATAGTTTAATCAATAACAAGTACTCCCTCCGTTTCAATTTATATGAACCTATTTGACTGGGCATGGAGTTTAAGAAAAAATGAAAATTTTTGTAATTTGTAGTTCTAAACAAGTCAAAAAGGGGCCCAGAGTATTTGTGTGGTTACAAAAGCTTCTCATTAACGGTAGAATTGTAAGTTTAAGCTAAATTGTTTCCAAATTTAGAAAGGGGACATTCTTTTGGAACCGACCAAAAAGGAAATAGGTTCACATAAACTGGAACGGAGGAAGTAATATTTTACCTTATACATACAGTTGATCACCCTTGGTCATACAAAGCTTCGCACCTGAAGGCGATGCTCCACTAATCAAGATGTTTGTCGATATAATTTGTTAAGATTGATAAATTCCTTTCGGCTCATCCTGTTTTCAAGAATAACGTAAAGGAAAAAGGAAAGACCAATACATACTTTTCATCATTCATTAGGTTATCTTCTTGCTAATTAGGAGACAGCTAGTTAACATTTTTTGTGATTGAGAAAAATTCCATTAGACGAGTTCTTGAACGCAGGGAATATCTTAATGGTCTTGAGTTGTCTCATTTCACATGACATGATACTTTAGGCGTGAAAAAAATGAAATACTATTACTACCTCTGATTATATTATCTGTCTTTTAAAATAAGGGTGGATGCAAAAAAAAAAAAAAGAACAAAAAAAGTACTCATAAATAACTTCTTGTTTTGAAAAAGAGAAGTAATATGTGATTTCTTCTTTTTCTATAACATCAAATTTTCTAAATGTCCAACATTTGGGACAAGAGAGAGTAAATACAAGTTCAAAGAATTATGTCTTATATAGGGTCAGGTGAGGTTTCCTTTGAGTTGAGTAGTTAAAGTGCCTACTTCTACTTCTCATCTTTTGTAACACGTAAAATTGCAGAGAATGAGAAAGATATATTTAGACTCCCAACCAAAGCCAATATCAGAGCAGCCCTGCGTTGGCTTGTTCACAGTTGCCAACCTGGTGATTCACTGGTATTTCATTACTCTGGCCATGGCTCACGAGTACGTGACCTTGACGGAGATGAAGTTGATGGATACGATGAATCACTATGCCCTATTGACTACGAGACAGAAGGACGAATACTAGATGATGAGATCAATGAAACCATTATAAGGCCTCTACCTCGTGGTGCCACACTTCATGCTATAATTGACGCTTGCCATAGTGGAACTTTTCTAGATTTACAGTTCATGTGTAGAATAAACAGGTTAATGAACCCTCTTTTTGAATTTTGGCTCTTCATATCAAAACTTCATCAATATATATGATTTTAAAACAAAGGCAAGGTTTTCAATTAGGGGAGGAAGCTATATGTGGGAAGATCATCGCACTCCACACGGCACATACAAAGGTACGAGAGGGGGAATAGCAATATGTATCAGCGCCTGTGATGATCATCAGAGCTCTGGAGATACCATTGTAAGTTTCATACATCCATGGTTCATTCCATAGTAAAACAATTGGTGTTTGTTGACAATGAAATATAATGCCCTCTATTCGGTTAAGTCAATTTAAAATGCATTCTTAGTATACTCGTACCATTTGTTAGGTCGTGGACTAGCAAAACATAATTAAAATACTGGGAGATATAGTCTTTATCTTGGTTTTTTAACGCTTGACGAAATAACTATATATATGAGGAAAGCTCTTCGCGTGATACTCTTAAGGCTAGATCAGGCCAATGGTCCTGGTCCGCTTTTTAAGTAAAGAGTGTGTTTGAGTCTTGTTGCACTCTTTGGGTGAGCTAAAGATACTCCGTTTCATTTCCACATTCTTTTCCAAATTGACAGGAATATATCCAACAGTAGTGAAGCTGTATATTTTAATCCTTCTGGCTTCAGTCACCTCTTCAAATTTATATCGGCATTTTCAGTTGTATTAACATATATACATCAAAGTTGGTAACACACACACATAACTTCTGCATGCAGGCTTTCACAGGTTTTCCAACTGGTGCACTGACTTATAGTTTTGTGAAAACATTGGAGCAAGAGCCTAAATTGACTTATGGACGCATGCTTCTGTCAATGCACAAGAAGATACACGAGACACAAAAAAGAATAGGCCTGAATAGTAAAGATGTATCTCAGGTGCACTTGAGATTATTATAATTCTTAAATTTGCAACAATATATTACTTGATATCTTTACCGGCTTAATGAATAAGAGGTTCGATATGATAGCTATATGAATATTTAACTACTTAACATAATTAAACAAGAAAGCCTACATAGAATGGAATGGATAGAAAGAGCCGGATGGAGACGTAGCTGGTTGGTAACATAACTAAACGAGAAAACACAAGGTTATATATATAGTTGATATTGACAAATATGCCAAGCAAGTTTAGTCCTTTTGAATGTTTTGCATAAGCTGATCTATTTTAATGGTTTTTACTGGTTTTGCCCAGGAACCTCAACTATCTGCTTCTGAACGGTTTGATATCCACTCCAAGCTGCTCATTCTATAGGAATTTAATGGTATCAAATATGCCAGCCTGATTAGAACTGCATTGGCTGCTGAAAAATAAAATAAACTATTTCTCGTACCGTGTTTGGCTTTTCAATGTATAAATCGAGCTTCAATCTCTTGTGGGGTTTACTCATAGAGCTTCACTGTCATATAGTTTTCACTTAATCATATAGTTTTCATATGTATGCTTCAGTAATGATTTTGGTTTTACTCGATAAGGGTTTGTTTGGAAAGCCACCAGGTAATTGGAATTGGCATAATTATAAGAGTAGTAATTACACAATTGTGTAATTAAGATGACCGGTTTGTTTGTCATAGTGTAATTATAGTGTAATTACAAGTTTAGTGTTTGATTGCAGAAGTGTAAATACACAGTCAGATTAAATTTTAAATGAAGTAGTTATCAAACTTAAAAGTTAATATAATAAATATATTGGCTATAAATTTTTGTAAGTATAAATGATATTATGTTTGGTATTTAAGATGTATATTTNCAAAAAATATACGTTTTGTAAGAACATCATGGAATTCATGTTTGATAAAATAAATTAATATTTATAAACATAATGTCATAACATTATTCAAATGTTTGACAAAACTAATATATCAATTATAACTTAAAAACGAACAACATGTAATGTGAGTCAATACTACTAAAATAAGTAAATTGGAACCATGAATATAACACAATTTCAAAATTCAAAAAAAAAAAAAAATTGTTTAACATATGTTAAATTCCAACATAATAATAATAAGTTCTAGTATAACTTAAGATTAGGAAACATAATAAGTTTATAACAACATTCAATAACAAAATTTCACTTTAATTGCATCACTCATTATATGACAGGTTTGTTAATGACTCATTATTTCTAATATTAGGAGGTGTAGTTTCAAAAATAGAATAATAAACTAAATAAAAAATAAAATATAAGCAATTACATGGAATCACAAAAAGTAAAGGAAGAGAAATAAAAGATAAATAATTTACAAAGAAAAATATATTTTAAAATTTCAAAAGAAATTAAAAAGTAAAAATAAAATTAAAAAATAAAAATAATTGAAATAAAAAGTTATAAAAAAATAAATTAAAATAAAAACAAAAAGGAAAGAAACTAAAAAGCAACCTCATAATTACATAGTATAATTACCACCAATTCTCACCTCCCTTTGAGAATTGGAGAGTGTAATTATACCCCTCCAATTACACTCAATTTCATGCTGACCAAATAATTACTTGGCCAAATAAACATGCCAAATTGTATAATTACATCCAATTACATTAAAATTCATTTTCAAGGTGGCTTTCCAAACATGCTCTAAGCCTTTCGATGAAAATTTGGATGGAGAAGATCCCCTGGTCCAAATTTTACCACACTTTATTTTATGGATTTGATCTCTTCCCCCGTCGATTCAATAAATAATACTAAAAAAATTGTCGATCTTTAGAAGATTATCAACATGATCACAGAAGGCCCGATTTATTTTGTTGATGTACGTAAGAAGAAATAAGTAATGAAGGCATAGGAAATTAAAAAGAAATTCATAAGTTTTAATAAAATATGATAAAAGTGCAAGGGCACATATAGGAAATGAATAGATAAAGCAGATAGAAATAAGCCAAAGCAGAGAGTTATAGAATCAGATCTCACTAGTGAGGTCTGGGGAGGTTAGATTGTACGCAGACCTTACCCCTACTCATGAGGGTAGAGAGGCTGCTTCCGGGAGACCCCCGACTCAAAACAAAAGATCTGTAACAATAACAGAAAACATACAAATAAAATCAGCACCGTAAGTGACAACAAATAAGTGGGAAGGACAATAATTATGGCAATAATAAAAATTATAAATAAAATATAAAATAAAAGTAAAAAATAATAAACAAAAAATAGAAAGTGTGATGGAACAATAACTGTTAGTAGTCATATGTAAAACACTATTAGACTAGCCAGAACAACTAACAAAAATGCTACAACTAAACCCTAACCTACAACCCTAATGCTCGACCTCTACACCTCCATATCCAGGGCCATGTCATTGGAAATCTGAAGTTGCGACATGTCTTGCCTTATCACTTCGCCCCAATATTTCTTAGGCCGCCCTCTACCTCTCTTTGTGCCTGTCAAAGACAACCGTTCACACCTCTTAACCAGGGCATCTAGACTCCTCCTCCGCACGTGCCCGAACCATCTAAGCCTCGCTTCCTGCATCTTGTCGTCCATTGGAGCCACGTCTACCTTCTCCCGAATATCTTCACTCCTAATCTTATCAAGCCTAGTGTGCCCGCACATCCATATCAACATCCTCATTTTGGTTACTTTCATTTTCTGGATATGAGAATTCTTGACTGGCCAACACTTAACCCCATACAGCATGGCCGGTCTAATCACCGCTCTATAGAACTTACCTTTAAATTTCAGTGGCACCTTCTTGTCATATAGGACTCAAGACGCTAACCTCCATTTCATCCATCCCACCTCGATACGGTGCGTGAACCTCCTCGTCTGCTTCCCCCGATACATCGCTGAACTTGCACTCCACATATTCTGTCTTGGTCCAACTCAACTTGAATCCTTTAGACTCCAGGACCTGCCTCTATACCTCCAGTATTTCATTAATGCCGCCTCTCATCTCATCAATCAGAACTATATCATCAGTGAACAACATACACCATGGCACCTCCACTTAAATATGGTGTATCAATACGTCCATTACTAGGGCAAATAAGAACGGCCTAACTGCAGTTCCTTAGTGTAATCCCATAACTACTGGAAAGGGCTCCGAATCACCTCCCATAGTCCTAACCCGAGTCTTAGATCCATCATATAAATCCTTTATCGCCCTAATATAAGCTACCGGCACACCTTTCACCTCCAGGTATCTCCAAAGAACGTTCCTAGGGACCTTGTCATACACCTTCTCTAGATTAATGAACACCATGTACAGATCCCTCTTCCTATCTCTGTATTGTTCTACCAACCTCCTGATAAGATGGATATCTTCTGTAGTAGAGAGACCAGGTGTGAACCCGAATCGGTTTTCTGATATTGACACCGCCCTTCTTACCCTCCCTTCCACCACCCTCTCCCAAACTTTCATGGTATGACTTAGTAATTATATACCCCTGTAGTTGTTATAATTCTGGATATCCCCTTTGTTTTTGTACAACGGAATTATCGTACTGCACATCCACTCATCTGACATCCTCTTCGTCTTGAAAATAACATTAAACAGCTCAGTCAGCCACTCCAAACCTGCTTTACCCACATACCTCCACAATTCAACTTGAATCTCATCTAGTCCGATCACTTTGCCCCGACTCATCTTACGCATTGCTTCCACGACCTCATCCACTTTAATACGCCTATAGTACCTAAAGTCTTGCTGACTCTCGGAGTGCCCCATCTCCCCTAACACAATGTTTTTATCCCCCTCTTTATTCAGAAGTCTATGAAAGTATGACTGCCACATCTGCTTAATCTGGGCCTCTTCTATCAATACCCGACCTTCCTCGTCTTTGATGCACCTCACTTGATATAGATCACGATCCTTCCTCTCTCTCGCTTTAGCCAGCTCGAATAACTTCTTTTCCCTACCTTTACCCCCCAATTCTTCATACAGCCGCCTAAAAGTGGCAGTTTTAGCCTCCATGATCGCTAGCTTCGCTTCCCCCCTAACTTCCTTATATCTTTCTCTGTTCACTCTCCTCTACTCCTCGTTAGTGCTCTCTACTAACTTAAGGTAAGCCACTTTATTTTCTTTCACTTTACTCTGGACCACGTCATTCCACCACCAGTCTTCTCGGTGCTCGTCTGAGTACCCCTTCGAGACCCCTAACACCTCTCTCGCTGTCTCCCTTATACAGTCTACCATCGTCGTTCACATAACGCTAGCATCCCCAACACTCTTCCAGGATCCCATAGCCGTCAACCTTCCCTCTATCTCCTGCACATTTTCCTTAGTTAAGACTCCCCACCTGATCCTCGGTTGCCCCCGTACAAACCTTCTCTTCCTCTTTATCAAGATACCAACGTTCATCACCAGGAGCCTATGTTGTGTTGCGAGGTTCTCACTCGGGATTACCTTACAATCCTCACAGAACCCCTTATCACACCTCCTGATCTGAGTCTTAGCCACCATACTTCGGAAAGTAATCAAATGCTCCTCCTTTTTTGGGTAAATAGAGGTCATAATCACCAACTCAAATGTTCTAGCGAAATCCAATAGTGACGTTCCTCCTCTGTTCCTAACCCCAAAACCGAAGCCATCGTGCACCTCACCATAGCCATCACCAGACGACCAATATGCCCATTGAAATCCCCTCCTATAAATAACTTCTCCGTAGGCGGAATACCCCGCACCACCTCATCCAATGCCTCCCAAAAGCGCCTTTTATCCTCCTCATCCAAGCCCGCTTGCGGCACGTAAGCGCTAATGACATTCAGAGTGCTTCCTCCAGCTACTAACTTAATCACCATCAATCTGTCACTCACCCACCTAACCTTTACCACTGACTCTCTAAGAGTTTTACGCATCTATATATCTATATTAAAGGAATAAAACTTGTATTGTGATTAAATCAAGTGGCAAGCTATTGTAAAGCCACTTGAACATTTAGGACAATATTTATAATAATATTTAATTTAATTTGAAAGGTAAGATTTTTTATAATAAAATTTAAATGGGAAGATAGTAATAAGATTTTCTAAAGATACAACCTACTGCCCTATCTTAACTAATAACTTTTTAATAAATGAGTTTAAAGATAAAAATAATACCTCTATTTTAACTAATTATAAAGATAAAGAAGTAAGTATTTGTAGGCAATAAATTTGCGTCGAGAAAATAAATCAGGACCGAAAAATATCGCAACAATCGTAGTATTTTATTTCGAATACTTGAGTGTACAATCTCTATGAATGCTCTGATTCTTCTTTCCAATTGCAAATAAATTCAAGGGGCCTTCGAGCTTGATCTTGAATCTATGTTTGTTGTCACGAACGATGAACTTGAATTCAACTAGCACAAACTTTGATTTGAGCTCGCACTCCTTGAGCCTTGATTTGTTCTTCGTTCTTGAGCTTGAACTTGATTGTTTGAAGCTTGAAACTTGCGGAGGAATTTGCAATGTTTAATCCACGAGCTCTTTCTTGCTTCTTGTTATAACTTTTGGTATCTTTTCTGAGTTATAAAGACCCCTATTTATAGTTGTGGAAGGGAGGATTTGTGATAAGAATAAACTCTTTCCGACCAATCAAATTGAAGTGTGACATGACCGCATTTGATAGGCCAGAACATGTCACTTGTACATGTGACGCGATTTCATTGGCCTTCTAATGTGACTTGACATGCCTTGTCATTTTGACACGTGACACGGTCCTATTGGCTCTTCCGTTTGACTTGGCGCGCCACGTCATTTGACACGTGGCACCAACCTGGGCCTCTAGGAAGATGACATCTTAGGCCTAATGAAGTGGGCTCATCACTTTAGCCCAATTAGATGGGTTAGCCCAATTAAATGGGTTAGCTCAATGAGTTAAGACTCATTTATATAATCTATATATATTGAATTTATATATATAATCTTTCCATTATATTAGCCCATAATATTTATTTGGACCAATAAAATCCAAATTATTTTATGAATTTAATTTTAATAAAGTTCATATGCCTACAAATACCCTTACTTCAAGGCTCGTCGAGGTATAGATTTTAGCGACTAGACTTGAAGTATTTAATGAGGACAACATATCCTTTGTTGTAATATGAGTATGTGGATATGTTGTAATAGTCAAATACTTATTTGAAGACTTCCACAGTAAAAAGCTAAAACTTATTTGTCAAATGCAAAGCTTTAATGCTTCGGCAGAAATCCAATTCCTGTGGGATTTGTCAAATGCAAAGCTTTAATGCTTCGGCAGAATCCAACTCCTACAATTACACCTATTCCTATGCGTCATGAAGCACCGCATGTGATTCTAATTAAGCTAGGATACCAAATTCGTTTTGGATTATAAGACTTACTGCTTCCACATCGACAAAGTCACTTAATTTATTTCCTTGACAAATCTATAAATAGCCACATTCTCATTTTTTTTTTGAGCATCAATCAATTATGGGTATTATGAGCATGTGATTTTTTCCCTATATGAATTATTCCCATAGATCCAAGAAAAATAAAAATTTTCATTATTTGCAATTTCGTAGATTTTCGTAGCATTTTTTGTTATTGTTTGCATTTGTCTGTGCATGTTTATTTTATTTAATTCATGAAAATACAAAAATACACTGCATTTGCATTTAGGATCTAATTTTGCATTCTTAAATTAATTAGTAATTTAGTGTTTTATAAAAATGGAAAAATCACAAAATAACTTATTTTTGCATTTTAAATTTTTAGTTTCGAATCTTGGTAGTTTTTCTTTAATTTGGTATTTAATTAGTTGTGGTAATTATTATTTAGAGTTAGTTAATTTAATTTGATAGGATAATTTGATTAGGAATTAATTTAAGTTTTATTTTAATTTTAATTTAGAAGAAAATTAGAAAAATTGAAAAATTGAAATAAAGGAAGAGGAGGGCCAAAATTTTGGGCTAAATCCCATCAAGACCCCAGGCTCAGTCTTTCATGTCCCTATACCCGCCTATCCCAGCCCAATACCCGTCCCTTGACCCGGTCCGTTCCCCCCAACTAAATCAAACGACCATGTTTCGGTGTGCCATCTGATCTGGGCCGTCGAGGATCTTTGATCCAACGGCTCAGAAGCAAGGAGGGCTTAATATATGTATGTCCAAACCGTTCCCCTCCTCACTCGTCTCTTCCAACCCACCCTTCAGAGACCAAGCCTTGAACCCTAGCAGCCGCCCTTGAATGCCACCGCCTAAGGGTGGCGACGCCATCTCCAAACGCCACCAAAGTCACACCCTAGAGCCTCGTCACTCCCCTCTTTCCAGATCCACACTCCATTGCACTCGAATATTGCCCTAGTTTCTCGAATCTTAGATCAGAGATGAACCCTAGAAATTCCAAAGCCGAGTTTTGGCGAAGTTTCGTGTCTAATCAGATTTTATTCGTGTGTTCTTCGTAAGAGCACACGATTAACATCACGTTTGACCAGAAAATCCGAGGATTTGAAGACCCAGGCCCCTTTTTTCATTTTCTGAAGTTTTCGTATGTATTTTCTTTTCTTCTTTTGGTTTAATTTGTCCTTCGTTTGTTTTTCTATTTTCTGTTTCTTCCCCTCTTCTTGAATCATTTTTTATTTGTTCCGGAGTTTGTTTATTCATGCATGAGTAATTGGAGTCTTTTTCTTAATTAGTATAGTTAGGCTGTAATCAGATTAGTTTTAAAATTGTTAAGATGGTTAAGTTTAGTTAGTAAATCATTTAGGCTAAAGGTTTAATTGTCCCGCGTTATTTGGTGTTTATAACTTGTTAATTAGATAATTGCTAGTTGGGACGAATAGATTTCTGGTCTGGTGGGTTAGGTGTTGGGTCAAATCAGGCTCATTTGGGTCTGAACAGTTGGGTCAAAATTGACCCATGACCCATTTGGCCTGTCTGGTATATTAACAGGGGCTTAGGGGCAATTTGGGAAGTCTATGTGGGGGAATCTCATTTAACTGAATATGAAGCTTCTAGAAAGCTGGGGAAAGGGGACCATTCTGAATTTCTGATTTTTAACTGAGGGTATCTGAGCTAAATTGAAAATTTCAAAAGGTTTCAAGTGTAAAATTGAACCCTTNTTCATTGAATTTCAGCGATTGTTGATTCCTTTTCAACTTCTGAAACTATTTTTACTCATCCGAGAGGGAAATGGACTGAACTTGGTCATCAAAATTTGGGTCTAAAGTTTTGTTGGGCTGTCGTGTGTTCGGGTTTGTTATATTGAGTTGTTATACATCATTTATGGGTTGGGACTGGTTTTGCTGGCTATTTCGGTGCTGGTTCTTGTTGTTGCTCCTGTTGATTTTTCATTTCTTGTCTTTGTTCATTCCCAGGTACACATTTCTGTACTCTATTCGAATGTAAAACTTGATGTGGGAATCAAAAATGGAATCTGGAGCTTTGAGTTGTATTCAGTTTGAGTTTAGATTAACAATATAACATACTTGTCTACTCTGTTTTGTTTGGAAATTCCACTTACTACCTTTCAAACTATGAACAATAGGATCAACATTTAACCTCTGAATGTCGTACGACATAGTAGCTTAGTCTAAATGTCCATCTCAGTATAAGTTCTTTATATGTAGTCATTTTACTATTCGTTTGTCTCGAGGTCAATAGTTGGACTGGTTTAGATGCTGTTGACTCAAGATTGTTTATTTCACAGACTGTTAGATCTGATTGAAGTTGGTATTTATGTTTAGCTTATGTTTTCTTCCAAAGTCTGAGTTTTGTATCACATTTTCTGGTATATTTTTTAGAATTCAAGCAAGGCGTTTGTGTTCTCGAAGAACTGTGATTCAAATCATGAATTTACGGTTCGACGAGTCCCAAATCTGGTAAACTACCATCAGGATTCAAGTTCCATGCAATATGTTGATGATGTAGTTTGGGACTTGAATTTTCATTATTCCATTTGGTCCAATATGATTGCTACATTTTATGGCAAAAATGGGTTTAGCAATGAATGAAAAGTATTACTAGAAGTTGAGTTCTGCATTTTTCTTTCACATCCCAGGTCAGTAATTTAGATATCACGTGAATATTGGTAGTCGAAGCTTGATAGTTGGGTCATTCAAATTGAGTAACTTAGTTAATCGCTGGAGCGGTGTGACTTTATCATTATCAGAATAAGTTGTGGATGCAAATTTAGCATGTAATAGTGAGTAACCTTGGATTCATATTCATCTCATAGCTGCTTGTAAACAGATGCGAATTTGAGCTAGTAATCTGGATGCATGTTAGCTCATGTATGTCTATCTTTATAGAATTCCTTAAAGGAATTGGGCCTGGTTCTTACCACATGGGTCAGCTTGCTAGGAAAGGGCCCTCATATCTGTACTGCTTTTCCCCTTACTCCAAATGTTTCAAGTGATATTGGGCCTGTAGTCAGCCCAAAACCATCTAAGGCGATTTAAATGCTTGTTCTATCCCATTCGGATTTTTGGTTAATAAAAGTAATCCGAACTTCAATTTTAGGGTAGGTTTAATGTCGTGGCCCGTGTTAATTAATTACTGTCCCTCAATGGGTTTGTGGTGTAATATCAACCAATATATGGCCCTCACATGTTTTAATTAGACAATAAGATAAATATTCATAGAGAAACCTTTAGGGCCGTTTAAAATACTATCGTGGTTGTGGACACGTTCGCGTGACACGGTTACGATTTCTAAAAATAAATCGAGTATGCGTTCGCTCACCAAACATTCTTAATAATAAAAAATGTTATTAATTGTGGACACATTTGCGTGATACGATTTTTGACGCGCCAAACAAATGAGTACACATATGCGTGACCCGTTTCAATATAATCTTCTTAATTAAAAAGCGGCGAAAAGTAAATGCACATAGGTTCTAAAATTAGTCATT